GAGCAAAAACAGATGAGGAAAAAATGGACAGCAACATGTGTTTTCTGCTTAGTACAGTAAATTCAATACATTATACATACATATGTGGAGAGAGGCAGAGAGAGCAAGAAGACGTGGTCTTCAACAAAATAAAAACAAAACAAAAAATTAGATTTTATCCACAGAAGTAAGGCATTCTCCCATACCATACACCATGCCCTCATTAATAACTTTGCTTCACAAACTACAAAAAAAACAGAAGATGTGACAGCAAATGTGCCACAATCCACCTACTTCAACAGTTTGGCCAGGAGAAATTAAAGTAGTAGTATTTGAGTTATGGTCTCAATATGAGCTGCAAATGATAATTTCAAGTAGATTTTGATAGATAGGATTGCAAAGAATATGGTAAAAATATGGCGGATTTCCATTAGCATTTTTGTTGCATAAAAAGCTAGGATAATAGTGTTATGTGCTGAGACGTCTCAAAACACGTTTTTCAATTACGTTTAAGCAAAAACTAAAAATAATAGTGGACTAATTAAAGGAGAATTAACTGGAGATGCCTAAGTAAAATATCAAAGAAAACGGCAGAAGAAATAGAAATGATGACATAGGAAGGAATGATTACGTGTTCATTGTCTTTGGAATATTTTTGGTTTCCAAGAGGTTTACATTTCGGTAGGTGATTAGTCATAAGTTAATCATGTTAATCGAATATTCAAACTAGAAAATGAACATATTTTAAACCTTGGCTACAAATATTGATATCTCTATAAAATAGAGTTATTTCTGCCTTTATTTGCATTTAAATTGAGCTTGTTCTCAAGATTTTTATGTTGATTTTTGAATTTGTTTTAGTTTTATTATTTTATTTGGTTTTTAGTCTATTTTATTTTATTTTGTGTATTTTATTTCATTTTTATTTCTAATAAGTTTCCCCTTCTAATTTGTTTTAGTTTCCTCAATTGTGTTGGTAAAATTGGTTAAAAAGAAGCAATAATACAAGATCTTTTGGCTTGTTTCCTCTCTTTGGTGGCGTGGGAATAAAAAAAAACAAAAAAAAAAGCCTTGCTCCAGCCATTATCTATTTGCCACGTGGCCACTGAGGTCAGAAGCTACAATTTGGGTCAATTTCCTTTTCTTTCTCTTGGCTTGTTTCCTTTTCCTTGAAGTAATTACATAAAATGCTATTATTGAAGCTGTATTTTTTAAAATATCGATTATTTTATAATATTACAAAAATACTGATTTATATTTTATAAGGCATATGTTTTTCAGAACTGCCCTTAAAAGGTATTTTAGGCATGTTCTTTTATGGTTAATTGTTGTTTTCTGTTGTCCGATTTTTTCCTCATTATAATTTAGATATTTACTTTCCTTCTTAACTTTAATTGATTTGTTTATAATCAATTATTTTGATTTTATCCTATATAGTTTTTTTTATCCTCATCTCCAGCTTCCCCTTCTCTCTCTCGTCATCATTACCACTACTTTCTCTCTCCTTCCCGTAGCTTCACCCACAGACCATTGAAACTAATTATGTATTGCTTACCTTCAGAAAATGGTTATTTCATCCATGGTTTGTCGATGGTTTTCCAGGTTTTGGCCGATAAGTATGGTAATGTTGTTCACTTTGGCCGATAAGTATGGTTTTCTTAGTTTGATTTTTATCAATTTGCTACTTTCATATTATTTTCCAATTGGTGTTCTGGAATTTTTCCTTTTTACATAAGAGTAATTGTTCGGATATATTTATGTTTTGCGTTTTTTTTCCCCCTAAGCGATTTAAATTACATATTCATTCATCTACGTTCCTAGTTCTTAGGTCATTTTATTGATGAACAAATGAAAGATGCGTTCATGTTTTCGTGTATGTTTATTAGTGTTTTGTTCTAATGAAAAGTGTTGGGATCTTGTTTTGATGATTGGTATTTTTTGGATTTGATGTTAGCATTGTTTTAGGCACGATTTGTGATTGACTAATTGGAGATTTTATGGCAGTTGGTTTTGTTTTTTTTAGAAGGTTTTAGTTATTTAGGGCCTGTTCTTTTATTTAAAAAACTCAAAAAAAGATAACTCGAGTTTCAACTTTATTCAACTTTATTTAACTTTATTCAAGTTACAGCTTCAACTCAAGTTATAACTCAAATTCAATTCAAAAATTACACTCAAGTTACACTAAAAAAAAAACATGCCCTTAGAAACTATTTAAAGTCATTAATTTTTATATGATTTGGTGAAGGTTAAATGTAATCATTTTTGGTAGGTTGAAATTTGATGGAATAATTGATAATTTGTCTGCTGAAGAAGTTTCCTTGTGGCGTCGGGTCATTTGAGTCAGGAATTAGAGTGTGTATTTGTTTGATTTTGGAATACATCTTCCCTTGTACAAGAGAACAAATAATATAAACGTGTTTTACGTAAAGATGCTTAAGTGGTCTTCGAATGTGTACCACCTGCAGGAGTCATGTGAAAAGGAAGATCGCCTTGAGTCAAAATTTTGAGAAAATAACCAAAGAAAAACAAACAAAGAAAGAGAAAAAGAACGACAAGGAATGATATTCTCGTTGATAACTCGGGC